GATGCCGAAAAAGCCTTTGACAAAATCCAGCATCCATTTTTGATAAAAACGCTCAGCAATGTGGGAATAGAGGGATCATATCTAGACATAATAAAGGCCATATATGAATGAACTACAGCCAACGTCATACTCAATGGGGAAAAACTAAAAGTATTTCCCTTAAGAACAGGAAAAAGGCAAGGATGCCCACTTTATCCACTCTTATTTAACATAGTACTGGAAGTCTTAGCCACAGCAATCAGACAGGAAGAAAAAATAAATGGGATCCAAATTGAAAAGGAGGAAGTGAAACTGTCATTATTTGCAGATGACATGATACTATATGTAGAAACCCCCAAAAACTCCATCCAAAATTTACTAGACTTAATAAATGAATTTCGCAAAGTAGCAGAATACAAAATTAACGTCAAGAAATGGATGGCATTCTTATACATCAATAATGAACTCACAGAAAGAGAAACTAAGAAAACAATCCCACTCAACATCGCAGCAAAAAAATTAAGATACCTAGGAATAAACTTAACGACAGAAATAAAGGACCTATTCACAGAAAACTACAGGTCATTGAAAAAAGAAATAGAGGAAGATATAAAAAAGTGGAAGCACATACCCTGTTCATGGATTGGGAGAATTAACATCATTAAAATGTCCATATTACCCAAAGCAATCTATAGATTCAATGCAATCCCCATCAAAATACCAACGGCATACTTCACAGAATTAGAACAAGTACTTCAAAAGTTCAATTGGAACCAAAAAAGACCTCAAATAGCCACAGCAATCTGGAAAAGAAAGAAAAAAGTTGGAGGAATCACATTACCAGATTTCAGGTTATACTATAAAGCTACTGTAATCAAAACAGCCTGGTGCTGGCACAAGAACAGGCATATAGACCAGTGGAACAGAACAGAAAACCCAGAAATAGAACCAAGGCAATATGCTAAATTAATATTTGACAAAGGTGGCAAGAGCATACAGTGGAGTAAGGACAGCCTCTTTAATAAATGGTATTGGGAAAATTGGACAGCTACATGCAAAAAAATGAAACTAGACCATCAACTTATACCCTACACGACAATAAACTCAAAATGAATAAAATAATTAAATGTGACTTATGAATCCAAAAATTCCTATAAAAAAAACTGTAGGCAACAAAAATTCAGACATCATATGCAGTAGAATTTTCACTTATACATCCCCTAAGGCAACAGAAATAAAGAAGAAAGTGAACACATGGGACTACATCAAACTCAAAAGCTTCTGCACAGCGAAAGATACAATCATCAAAACGGAAAGGCTACCCACTGTATAGGAGAGCATAATTGCCAATGATATATTGGATAAGGGGTTAATTTCATATATATATATATATATATATATATATATATATATATATATATATACTGCTCATACAACTCAACAAAAGGAAGACAAAGAACCCAAATAAAAAATGGGCAGAAGAACTAAATAGATACCTCTCCAAACATGACATAAAAATGGCTAAGAGACATATGAAGAAATGCTCAACATCACTAATAATCAGAGAGATGCAAATTGAAACAACAATGAGGTATCACCTCACACCTGTCAGAATGGCCGCCATCAACAAATCATCCAACAAGTGTTGGCGAGGGTGTGGAGAAAAGGGGACTCTAATACACTGCTGGTGGGAATGCAGACTGGTGCAGCCACTATGGAAAGCAATATGGTGTTACCTCAAAAAATTAAAAATTGAACTTCCATTTGACACAGTTATTGCACTTCTAGCAATATACCCTAAGAATCCTGAAACACCAATCAGAAAGAATATATGTACTCCCATGTTCATAGCAGCACTATTTACAATAGCTAAGATCTGGAAACAGCCCAAGTGTCCATCAGTAGACGAATGGATAAAAAAGCAGTGGTACATATACACAACGGAGTACGACGCAGCTGTAAGAAAGAAAGATATCTCATCCTGTGAGACGACATGGAGGGACCTGGAAAGTATTATCCTAAGTGAAACAAGCCAAACAGAGAAAGACAAGTATCATATGATCTTACTTATTTTATGGAATATAATGAACATAACAGTCTGAGGAATGGGATAGTCCCAGGGACGTGGAAGTGGGGTACAGACTGACAATCCCCAGAAGAGGGTGTGGTGGGGGAGGGATAAGCCACAGAACTTATATGCATGTATGCATGAACAATGGACATGGACAACAAAGCTGGGGACAGGGCAGGGAGGGAGGGAGAGGGGGGAATCAGTAGGTGAAAAAGGAGAAATATCTGTAGCAAAATAAATTAATTAATTTAAATAAATAAATAAATAAATAAATAAATAAATATTCTCCTACAGAAAATATAGTGGATGAACACTAAATATTTGTTGAAATAAAGAGTTTATAGGCCTGTATCTAATTTCATATAATGTTTGATAGACTGGGAAAGTTTTAGTCAGCCTTGGTAGATGGTGTGTGTTTATGATGGAACCTCAGACATATATGCTCAGTCTCTGTCCTAGGTTAATAATAAATGAATTGTGTAAAGAGGAATATTGAAAAGACTGATGAACGTTCCTAACTTTTAGGCTTGTAGTAGTGTTGACCAAATTAAGAATTTTTAGTAGGATGACAAGAACTCAAAATTTGTTTTTTTTCATAGGGCAACTTTAAGCAGTTAATTAGCAAAAGGTATTTGAAAAGGGATTAATTTTAAATAATGTGTAAATGGAATCTGTAATATCTGGTGATTTTATGCTTTAAATGGCTTTATTTATAGCCCATGCAATAGATCACAAGCAGTGCTCCTGCCCTCACATATAAACTGCTATTGTGCTACTGAATAATAAGTTTCAGAATACTCAAGAACTACTAGATCGCTGACTGATTACATGTTGAGAAGCTTGTACATTCAGATCACAGTATGTAGGGGTGGGTGCTGTGTACACACAAAAGCAAAATCCCAATACACTGGAATCAGCATCTCCCTTAACATTCTGTTTAGAGCTAAACATGCACAGGCCCACTATGCCTACCAGCCAGAAAGACAAATTGTATTTGCTCTGGTCTGTATTGCCATTCAGTTAGGCTTTTCAAAAGGGTGGCCTGGACTATTTCTGAATAATGAAGGTTGTTTCTATTTCCCTCACATACTGGAGGTTTTTTCTTGTAGCCTTGAATATCAGCTTTTGAAAGCCCTCACTACACAATACAGCTTTTTTTCAAAGAGTATAGTACTAGGAAATTCTTTTTCTGAAATGAATAACAGTTTTAAAATGACTAGAGTTCTTGAATTTAGTAGGACTTTGGAGAATACAGGACAACTTGAACTTAAGGTGCTTAAGACCCTTGTAAAAGTTTTATGGTTCTTTCATGCTTTTGCTTTTCTGTTCTAAAATGCAGAAAGACCTTGAGGGAGAGAAGGGGAAGCAAAATGTTATCAGAATGGAAAAGAAAAAATCTTATGAATGCTACCTGGAGGGGAAAATGTGAAACTGGATCTTAATTTCCTTTTTGTTTTTTAGAAGAATGTCACTGCCTGTGAAATATTAGGCCTGTGAAGGACAAAATGTTCCAACATCACTCCTGTAACAGCCCCAAATTCCATATGTGAGCTGCTTTTCCCAGATGACTCATTGGACAAATTTTATGTAACTATAAAGGCTCTAGACCCCCCTTTTCTTCAGTCGCACTTCTCACTCAGTCAGTTCCCTATCTTCTATCATTTATTGTTAATTCAATAAATATTTTTGTAATACCTTCTATGTGCCAGGTCCAGCATCATGTTGTGAAGATACAAAGCTGGATATAATGGTAAGCAAAACAGACCTCTTAGAGCTTACCACCTAATGTACAAAGATAATATAATTGCAAGAACTCTGGGTGCTGCCAAGGAGAATAAGATAGGTCACAAAAGCACAGGAAGGACTATCTATTTGGGGATCAGAAAACAGGCCCCTGTAAGGCAGTAATGGTAGTCCTGAAATATGAAGGGGCATTCCAGACTGTGGGAAGACACTAGAAAAAGACTCTGTGACATGAAGAAAGGTGACTGCTCCTAGAACAGAAAGGCCAGAACAGAAAATTAGAGGGAGGTTGGGAGAATTAGAAGTGATGCTCCAACAGATAGTGGAGCTGCTTTTTGGCCTCTTCTGGATTTTCATACCTATGTTAAAGAAAATTGGCAGCCAGCAGATGGTTAAAAGAGAAATCTTACAAGATTTGATGAGTATTTTTAAAGGACCACTCAGGATGGAGGGTGGATAAGAAGTTGGATGTCATCAGGAGGGGTTATGAGGGGCCTAGTTCTAAGGCTGTGGCTGTAGTCCCCACAAGAGATAATGGGGACTTGAAACAAAGTGGTGGCAGAAGGGAGAGAATTGGAGAGTTTCTTGAAATATTTATGCCAGTACCTGAGGGCTGGATTGGAGAGTGAACAATATGAAGGCACAGACATTGATGCCCAGGTTCCCAGATGGTATATGTGTCTAAAGATGGGTCATTAACTGAGATGAAGGCAGAGCAGGAGAGGGATCAAGGTGTTGGGTATGTGTAGGTGAGAATAAAAGGAGTTGTGGGTGGCAACAGAAGGGAGGAGGAGAAGTTAACTGCCTTCTAATTGCAATGCCACCAATATTTCCAACCAAAGTATTGACTCTGAAATGGTTGACAGTGACCCACACAAAGAAACACAGTTTACATAGCTTCCCCATATGCAGGCAGTCTACGTAGAAATTCACAAAACAGTGCTTCCCTATTTCTTGTGGAACTTATGGGTATTTCCTATCTTACATCCTAAAAAAAATAAAAGGCAGGTGTCAGTATGGGCTGCGAGGCGGTGACGTTGACAATGACTGCCGCAGCACTGTGGTATCCTTTGTGACGCTAGAGGAGTGAAGTGGCTAGGGCCTTGGAGACCTGGTCAAAACAAACCTCGCTTCAGTATCAGCTTGAAGCGCTACAGGCGGCTGCAGCGGCCCAACTCTCGGAGCAGGGACCCCTTCACCCCCCAGCATGGCTACTTCCAGCAGCTCACAGAGGCCCATCAAGGGGATCCTGAAAAACAAAGGCTCCACAGCTTCCTCATTTGTGGCCTCTGGCCAGCAGTCTGGAGGACCTAATCATGTACAGATAAGAAAGTCTAAGAAGTGGGACGAGTCAAATATCCGCGCCACATGCCGCTCTGCATACAGAGACTATGATTTAATGAACACAAATGAGCCCAGCACTCCCCACGTCAGGATCCAAGATGGTAAAGAAGATACAGTGTGTGATTTAGAAACAAAAGATCTGACCAGAGACATCTTAGGTAAGAAATTAGCCGCCAATGATACCTCTGAGCCGAACTGTCAGATGGGGGAGCCAGAGAGCAAGGGGGTACACAGTAGCAAAATATTACTGGACAAAATAGAAAGACAGCGGCAGTTCGAATTGAGAAGGAAGTTGCATTACAACGAAGGACTGAATATCAAATTAGGTAGAGAATTAATTGCGAAAGACCTCCAATGTGAAGAAATAGATGATGAAAAGGAAGAAATCCCACCTGTTACCAATGAAGAGAAGACTGCGGCAGAACCAGAGGAGGGTGGTCCTGCAAGTGATGAACAGAAAACTCAGGCATGCTACGTGTAGAAAACATTTGTCCATACTCCAACTGTTGTCAAACTCTGTTAGTATAATAGACTACTTCTAGTTGTGTAGAACTGTACTTCCAGTACTGAAATACTATCAGTTAAATTGTACTGTAATAACAAAACAGTAAACTTAGAAAATAAATTAAATGGAAAATGCCTGCTTAATATTCTCATGTCTGGTACTTTTGCACAAATAGAAATCCTGACATCAGTCCAAAACCACATTACTTTTATAAAATATGTTTAATATATGTACTATATAGCTTTTTTTTTATGTGTTAAGGGCTTGAAGGAGGATTAATTTATATTCACTTATAGATGTACTAACTTTTATAGAAAAGATTTTGTTACAAAACCTAAATTTAGTTGGTTGTACAGTCTGATAAATATTAAAAGTGAAAAGCACTTGTTTTAGGGTGATTTACCTGTTTAATTGAGAGAGAATATAAAACTTATTGTCGTATTTTCTTAGCCTAGCATCTTTAAATTTTCTTTTTCTTTTATTGTTTACAAGAAAATGACTGAATTTTTTCTTATCAAAAATAGTCCCTTTTCATTAATTATTAGGTTAAAATTGCACCAGTGTTTGTTCTATTTCTTGTGCACTCTGTGGGCAGATTTGATACCAATATTTTTATAGCCTCATTAATGATGTTATATTAATATATGTTCTCAATTAACTTGTCACAGTTTTTAAGAAGGGAGATTATTTTTTATCTTTACTGTTGAAAATATTACAGCTGTCCCTCCTATTTTCCCTCATTGACCCCTCCTCCCTCCTTCCACCCCCTTACTCTTTTCCCAAACTATTGTCTTTGTCAATTGGTTATGCATATACGCATATGAATATTTTTTAAAGTTTAATGTTATCTCAGCAATCTGTTCTTATTCCTGTCTTCACTTCTATTTTTTGTTTCCTCAGACCTCCTCACGTATAGACACACAATCCTTTATAGATTATCAATTGCCAAGACATTAGGAACTATTCCTTCTCAAAATTTCTATGATTTGCTGCAGAATGTTATTTTTATTTTGACTATCATGGCCTATCCATTCTTCTAATAGGTACAGAAAATAGCTTGAACAGCAGAAGTGCTAGAGCCAAGGCGTAGAATTCAACTTTTAAATTTCTATATATTTTTGGTTTATAGCTTGCTAAATAATTTGCTGTCATTAGTTTATCATTTGACCTAATTAGCTTTTAGAAAACAACTGAGTTTTTTTCATGACAGAATCCTGTGCAACTAGTGACATGATTATAGTTCCTGAGTGTACACAGACAGAAGTAATTCCTAAACTTTTGTGTGTATTTCTTTTTTTTTTAATTTTACTGAAATAGTTGTAGATTCACATGCAGTTGTGAAAAATAATACATGGAGATCCTGTGTACCCTTTACCTAGTTTCCCACAATGGTAACATATTGCAAAACTATAGTACAATGCCACAACCAGGATATTGATGTTAATACAATCAAGATACAGAACATTCCATCACCACAAGAATCCTTTGTGTTGCTCTTTTATAGTCACATCTGTTCTCCATTTCTAAAATTTTGTCATTTCCAGAATGTTATATAAATTAAATCATAGCATGTAATCTGTTGGGATGCACGATAATGTGTTTAGCCATTCACTCATTGAAAGATATCTGGGATTGTTCCAGGTTTTGGTATTACAAATGAAGCTGCTATGAACATACATGCACAGGTTTTTGTGTGAACATTAAGTTTTCACTTTTCCGGGATAAATGCCCAGACGTGCATTGCTGGCTCATGTGGTAGTTGCAGTTTCTTAAGAAACTGCCAAACTGTTTTCTAAAGTGGCTGTGCCATTTTATATTCCCACAAGCAATGTATGAGCATTCTAGTTTATCTGCATCCTCACCAACATTTGGTATTGTCACTATTTGTTATTTAAATCATTTTTATAAATGTGTACTGAGATCTTAATTTGCATTTTACTAATGGCTAATGATGTTGAACATATTTTCATGGGCTTATTTGCAATCTGTATATCCTCTTCTGTGAAAAATCTTTGCCTATTTTCTAGTTTAGTTATTTGGGTTTTTTTTTTTCTGTTGAATTTTGAGAGTTCTTTGATTTGCACATTTTTTCTCACCATCTTTAGCTTATCCTCTTAGAAAGACGTCTTCAGAGCAAAAGTTTTTAGTTTTGATGTGGTTCAATTTATCAATTTTTCCTTTTATGTATGGTATTTTGGTGCCCTAGTCAAATGTAATCCAGAAAGTTTTTTTTTTTTTTTTTCCCAAATCATGATTTCCTGATTAAGTGACATGATATTGGGCTATATAGGAAATGGCCTTTATTATTTAAGTTTGATTTTCCTTTGGAGAAAGAAATCAGAGAATGTTCAGTTTTAGTTTCAACTCTTTATCAGTATCACCTCCTCTGCTAAACTCCTTTGATGTCATGATTTGTTTACTTATTTTTCAGTGTGAAATTCAGCAAGGTTGGCTGTTTATAACTTGGGACATGTAATGGTATAAATGGGTTAACTAAGAATAACTTCCACTTGAAGGTTAAGGCAAATGTATTTCCCTCTAGACTTTGTTGTAATAAGGTGCAATGATGTAAATAGAACGAGACTCAAGAGTTACTAAGTTGGGGTATATATATATATATATATATATATATATATATATATATATATATAATTGATTCCAGAGAGAGAGGAAAGGAGAGGGATAGAGAGCTAGAAACATCAATGAAAACATTGATTGGCTGCTTCCTGCATTCCCCCCACTGGGTACATGGCCCACATCCTAGGCATGTGCCCTGACTGAGAATCGAACTGGTGACCTCTTGGTGCATGGACGGATGCTCACCCACTGAGCCACCCTGGCCAGGCTAAGTTGGTTCCTTTAAATTGCAACCTGCAATTTCACAAACACTGAATGCAAAGGATCTTAATATTTTCAGTTAAAGGATTTTGTTCTTCATGTGAAAATATCACCTGGGAGAAACACTACAGGAGCTTATCAGCCATTCACACCTGAAAATAAATGAAAAACATGCTATGAAGTATTAATTGGGAAAAGAGTCAGTCATATTTGCAGGTGGCTATAAAAAAGAAAAGAAATAAGTACCCGGAAGTGAGGAGTTGGGAAGAGAGGGAGAAAAGAATGAGAAAAAAGAATGGCACGCTAATTTCACTAGCTTTATTACTTCTTTTTGTGATGATTCTTTTTTAAATGTATTTATTAGGGTGATATAGGTTAATAAAAGTATATAGGTTTCAGTTATCAAGTCTATAATACATCATCTGTATATTGTATTATGTGTTCACCACCCCAAGGCAAGTCCCCTTCCATCACCATTTATTTCTATTTACAATCTACTACCTCCTCCTACCTCCACTTCCTCTCTGGCAATCACCATACTTTTGTCTGTGTTCATTAATCTTTCTTTTTTTTCTTTGTTTAATACCTTCACCCTTCTCACCCAGCCCCCAACACCCTCACCTCTGACATCTGTCACTCTGTTCTCTGTATCTGTGATTTTAGCTCCAATTTGTTTGTTAGTTTGTTTTTATCATTTGATTCCACATATAAGTGAAATCATATGGTACTTGTCTTTCTCTGACTGGCTTATTTCACTTAGCATAACACTCCCCAGGTCTATCTATGCAGTTGAGAAGGGTAAACTTTTCTTCCCTTTTATAGCAGAGTAGTATTCCACTGTGCAAATGTACCACATGTTTTGTTTTTGTTTTTCCTACCCATCTACTGATGGGCAGTTAGGCTGCATCCAAATCTGGGCTATTGTAAATAATGTTGCAATAAACATATGGGTGCACATGTTCTTTCAAATTAGCGTTTCAAGTTTCTTTGGATATATTTCCAAAAGTGGAATTGCTGGGCCATAAGGTAGTTCCATTTTTAATTTTTTGAGGTAATTTCATACTGCTTTTCACAGTAACTGCAACAATCTACATTCACAGCATCAGTGCACAAGGGTTTCCTTTCCTCCACATCCTTGTTTGTTGATTTATTGATGATAACCATTCTGACTAGTGTGAAATATCTCATTATGGTTTTAATCTTCATTTTTTTTATGATTAGTGATGTTGAGCATCCTTTCATATGTCTATTGGCCATATGTATGTCCTCTTTATTTTTTAAAATAGTTTTTCTTTATTAATTTTTAGAAAGAGAGAGAGAGAGAACATCATTTGGCGGCTTCCTGCATGCTCCGCACTGGGGATCAGGCTCACAACCTGGGCAGGTGGTCTGACTGGGAATCGAACTGGGACCTCTTCATACATGGGTCTACACTCAACCACTGAGCAACACAAGCCAGGCTGTATGTCCTTTTTAGAGGAATGTCTATTCAGGTCTGTTGCCCATTTCTTAATTGGATTGTAAATTCACTAGTTTAAAAACTTATGGTTGACTCTCAGTGAGTCATTAATTCTAAACTGTCATAAGGAGAGCACAAAATCTTAATAAAGAAATAATGAGGAAAAAGATAGTTCTCTTGTTCACCCCATCAAATAATTATAGTAATACTACCACCAATACTACTAATATTAATTGTCATTTATTGGACATATGCAATGTGTTGGACAATCTACTAAGGCTTCAAAGAACTGTATTATTCTCATACAAACAATACTTTGAAATAGTATTGTTTTGCCCATTTTAGAGATTAGGGGATTTAAAATAAAATAAATTGCATAATTTTCTCAAATACAAACTTGCCAGTTGATGAAATCAAGATTCAATCACAGGCCTGTCTGGCTTACTCAGTCATAGTCTTTTCCACACTGTACCACACTGGCTTTATTCAGGTTCTTGATGGGGTTGAAGGTCCCTCCTCTCATTCCCTCCTAAGCAAACATGTGTACACTGGCAATGTAACAGGGCTTAGTTTTCTACACAGCTGTGAAGCATTAGTGGTCTAAGGAAAAGTTCAACATATGAGCTGCCTATTCCCTCTGCCATGCTGCCCCAAACTCCAAGTCTTCTTTGTATCCCCT